GCTAGGCTGCAGCCCTTGCTGCAGTGGGTTGCCATGGGCTACCATGTGTAGCCAGCAGCCAGCGTGAACGGCCAACAGCCGCCGTGAGCAGCCATCCAGAAGCCGGAGACTGATCTGCCTCTCCCAGGAAGAGTGCAATGATGGTGCCAACTTGGGCCAGTGAAGCAACGTCCTCCACAACTAGACTGAGGAACAAAAGGACAGCAACTTATCTGTTCCCCTTCCCCCAATTCCCCAGCACTGTTCCCATCCCCCAATTCCCCAATAAAATCTTAAAAAAAATTAAAAAAGACCACATGAGTCCTCACCAGAAGCCAGTCATGCTGGAACCCTAATCTTGGGAAGCTGCATGTTTGAAACTAAGGGAAAAGAATGAATCCATCTAGGGTTGTTCTGTGACCCCAGGGTAGAACCTGAATTAGCAAGGTGTCATCACGGCGGAGACAGCAGTGGCCAACAGAAATGCCCCAGTCTCCGTAGGAGTCAGTCCAGTTGCACTTGGCTCTCCCTCCGGCTGCAAAGGACACCTGCTCTGGGCTGGAAGTCACACCCTTCATGCCCATCAACATGGAAGTCCACACAGCCTCTCCAGACTCCGATTTTTCCAACTGTAAAATGGGAAAGCCTTCCAGTTCTGCACCACCTTGGTGTCCATTGCAACCTTGCTCGATGTGGGTTCAGTTCTGGCTGCAGACAACAAACTCTCTGGGGAAAGTGGGTTTTATTTTTAAGCCTCTTCCCAACCCACAGAGAAATAAGGCCAAACCCAGACACTCCAACTGCTAAGGAAGGGAGGAGTGAGTGAGCTACCATATTGGGAGGGCAGGTAGAAGAGAGGAAGGTACCACACAAAAAACCCCAATTTCGGAATTCAACCCATTCTTGCCTTAAACAACTGTGTTCTCAACTCAAAGGACCCCAAACTCGAATGGGTCCCAGAACCACGGGGCCACCTGCTAATGCAGATCCCCAGGCACCAGCGTGCTTGTTCAGTAAATTGGAGTAGGACCCTGGGGTCTGTATTTTAACTGGTGCCCTAATGTCTTCATGCACAGGGTCCTCCAATCATACTTGAGATGCTGGCTGGTTCGGGGACATAATGAAAGAAGGCAGGCTGTGTCACCAACAGAGAAGCCCAAGACTGCTCAAGGTCACTGACAAAGCACAGCCCCTGGAGGATGAAAAGTCTGGCTTCTATGAATGGATTCAGGTTTTACCATCAGCAAAATCTAGAAAGAGACTTCTGGTTCAATATAAATCAAATTTTATATTTTACAGGTTATTATTGGTTTTACTTTCAAATGCATCTGGGAATAGGGACTCCATAATCTTTCCTGAGCTTAAAGCCTCTGAAGGATTCAATTAAATGTTGAGTATTATTATTATTATTATTATAACACTAATAATTATTAATATTATTATAACGCTAATACTTACTTAGTGCTTACTATATGCCAGGCACTGTTCTAAGTGCTTTGCATACACTTGACACTTATTATGCTCACAATCCTATGAAGTAGGTATTATTGTTGTCCCCGTTTTATAGATACGGAAACTGAGGCTCAGAGAAATTGAGCAACTTTTTGAGGTCCCACAGCCAGTAAGTGGCAGAGCTGGGATGTGAACCCAGGTAGTCGAGGGTCCACTCTGGGCCACTATGGCACACAGGCGGTGCTCCACAAGCCATCATGTCCACCCCTTCTCTCCTTCCCAGGCCACCGCAAGACCCACGTCCACCCCCCTCTACCCCCAGAGCCACCCAGATGATTGCAGAAGCTTCTTTACCCTCCTCGTACCTGTCAGAAAGCAGATGAAGCTTCTACTCTTTGAAGAGGGATCCTTGGAGCTGAGCCGCAGCTGTGACCTTGACACTCCTACACTGCCTGGTGATGTACGCGGTGGCTGTTGCAGGGCATCGGGATGCCAGGCGGAGACTGTAGCTGTGCAGGGAGAGGAACAACACACACCATCACCAGGGGCCCAGCCTGTGCCCAAGACAGTGTCTGGGAGCCCATGGTGCTGGCGCCACCTCTCTGGGCCCCTTGAGGCCAAGGGGATTCGAGCTTGAACCTGTGGGAGCTCCACTATGCCCCACCCACCACCTTCCCCCTCCTCCAAGGTGGTGGTGCCATGGCAGCGTCCACCAGCTGGGTTCTGAGACACTGTGCTGAGCAGGGCCATCTGGAGGACCGCCAGGTGTAGTGCTTCCCCACCTGCCTCCCAGGCACTGTTCCCTCCAAGCACCTGGGGAGGTTTCTAGCACCAAGTTACATCCATGGCCTGTGTTGGGGAGAGAAGGGAGGGCCGGGTCCCCTCCAGGCCATTAACTCTACACTTGACCTTTACCCTGGCCTCACTGTGCCTCTATCTCCACTGTCATGTTGGGGATCAGAAAGGGTATGAACCCAGATCCTGTGACGCAGTTTGTCCCTCTGTGCTACTACAGCCATAAAATTGGATTTTTTTTTGTTCAGGAAAGCTTTTAATTTTTTTTTCCCCTAAGATAGGTAATCTAGACCATTATTCCTCTCCTTCCCTCATCCAGCTAACTCATACTCATCTCTCAGGTCCCAGGTGGGATACTGCTTCCTCCAGGAAGCCTTCCATCTTTAACTCCTGGATGAGGTGTCCCTCCTGCCGGCTCCCAGTGCCCCTCGTACGTCCCTGTCACAGCACTTGTTACACTGTGTCTGCCCCTCTCATGAGCCGTGAGACTCCAAGGTCAGGGCCTTTGCCTTGGTCATTGCTGCATCCCCAGCTTGGCACAACAAAAGTAAGTATTTTTTGAATAGGAACGACCCAAATGGCACTTACTACATGTCAGGAACTGTGCTAAGGATTTTACATATGTATATCAACTATCTTACCCCTCCTACAACGATCTAAGGTGGATACCGTATGTCCCTAATGTACAGATGGGGAAACGGAGGCACAGTGACTTGTCCAGGGTACCAAGTCATCCCTTCTAGATGGAAGAATGGACGTGAGCGGGGGCCTCCGGTCAGGAGAGGACGGAGGTGAGGTGGGCAGGCACTTCCAGGAACTTCATTTGCTCCAGGTGTTGGCTGGGAGCCAGCTCTGCCCAAGGGGGCAAGAGATGGGAATGACACCTGTCTCCAGGATTAGTGTTTCCCAACCAGGGCATGTGTTGGCAATGTCTGGAGACGTTTTTGGTTGTCACATCTGAGAGGAGAGAGGATGCTATTGACATCTAGTGGGTGGGGCTGGGGATGTTGCTGAACATCCTACAATGCACAGGACGGCCCCCACAACAAAGAATGATCCAGCTCAAAATGTTAATAGTGGGCCGGCCGAGTGGCGCATTGGTTAGGAGTTGGCTTGGGACGCCAGCTCTGAGCAGCGAGGCCCTGGTTCAGGTCCCACATGAGGTCCAGTGACACTGCGCCCTCTACAGCTGAGATGGTGAACAGCAGCTTGACCTGGAGCTGGGCTGCTGTGAGTCGCTGGCGACAGCATAGGCTGCAGTGAAGCTGCAGTGGGCTGCCATGGGCTGCCGTGAGTGGCTGGCAGCCGGCATGAGTGGCAGGCAGCCAGCGTGAGCTGCCAAGAGCTGCCGTGAGTGGCCATCCAGTGGCCAGTGACGGATCTGCCTCGCCCGGGAAGAGCGCAATGACGGTGCCAACTTGGGCCAGTGAAGCAACGTCCTCCACAACTAGTCTGAAGAACAAAAGGACAGCAACTTGTCTGTTCCCCTTCCCCCGATTCCCCAATAAAATATATTTTTTTAAATGTTAATAGTGCCAAAGTTAACGAGGGAGTTCTCAGTACGTACCTATTAAAATAAATGAATGTATGAACAGACAAATGATTAAAGAAGGTATCAGAGAAAGACCTAAGATGAGATGAAGAGACCTGCCATTTTCACAAAGGAGATCCCCTCTGAGGGCCTGGCTCTCAGCCTCGGTCCAGGGCTGCCCCTGTGTGAGGCTGTGCGATCCCGGCCCGGGGTCAGCAATTTCTACCTCCTACCTGAGCAAGATTCAAGGCAGAAAATGGACACCCAATGCTCAGCAGCAAGCCTGTGCCCCAAATGGCCTTCTAAGGCCCAGGAGGTGGCCTGTCGGGGCACCACGGGCTGGCTGGCAGCCCAATATTGGCACAGCCCCTCGCCTAGCCAACCCGACTGTGGGAGGGGACAGTCAGCTGTGAGGCTGCCTGAAAACGTGGGTGACTTGCACACACGTGTCCTGCTGGGGAATAAGGGATAGTCCTGGCACGTCACAGGTCCCCTTACGCTGTCCCCTCTCTGGCAAAATGTAGGAGGGCGAGCAGCCGCTTTGGAGACGGACTGGTCCTGCATCATCACTTCCCAGGTTCTTCCTCTCTCTGTTACCATCACTCCACATCTATTAAACATTCAAAACCCAAATCAAGCAAAGATAACATCCACTGGCCTCCCAGCCCTCCTAGCTGTCGAGCGTCTTTCTGCTTTCTTTTGCATCTGTTCCACCCTCAGCCTCTTTCCGCCACAGCAACCACAGCTGTTTCCACTAGGGTACCTGCTTTCTCCCCAACCCTAGGCACCCACCTGGGTAGAGCATTGATGGTCAAGGGCACAGCCCACACAGGCAGGGCCCTCTCACCAGCCCTCAGCCCGCTGCCTGGCCCAGTAGAAGACAATGCCAGCTGACATGCACACGGCCCATGAGATTCTCAAGGACTTTCTTTAGAGTCTCCAAGCAGCCCAGGAAGTGGGAGGAGCAAGCACTTTTATACCCATTTCACAGATGAGGAAACTGAGTCTCAGACAGCCAAGCTCAGGCCTTTCAGCTCCATGGATGATTTTGGGGAGGGTGTACCAGGTCACCACCTGAGTGTTTCCTGTTGGGCCTGGGGCAGTGATGTCCAGCGGGACAGTCTCCTGCCTGATCATAAAACCCTTTCTCTGGTCAGAGAACTCTTAAGAGCCCAGTGGCTGCCCAGATCTAAGATGTTAAGCACTGAGGGACAGCGTCTTTGGAAATAGATATGATTTCTCCATTCCCACCACAGTAGTGGTTAACTTGCAAAGACCTCATGATTCTTGGTTCTCACTCTCTAGCTGTGTGACCTCTGTAAGTCATGGACCTCTCTGAGCTCCAGTTTCACCATCTGCAAAATGGGAATAGCAATTTCATAGGATTATTGTGACCATTAAATTTAGAGAAAGCTCTTAACAGCACATACCGGCACTCTAATATCTATTAGCATGGTATTTGAACTGTGGCAGTTAGGGGGACGGACTGAAGAAATGAAGGATGTTAGGCGTGTGACACATCCCAAGAAGTCACAACACTGCAGGAGGCAGCACGGCCCTTAGAAACCTGAGTGCGAGTTCCCATCCTCACACTTACTGGCTGTGTGAGCCTGGCCTCCCAACCTCCGTTTCCTCATCTGTAAAGTGGAGGTAACCCTTGCTGGCCCGACGTCGCAGAGTGGGGCTGGGTAGAGCAGAGGGACAGGGGATGTCAGAGCACTTTGCCTGTGGGATGCTTTTAGCGGTGCGAGCACAGGGAGCATCAGAGCAGGAGCCCGGCCATCGCCCTGCCGGCTCCATCGGCCTTCGCAGCCCCGTGTGGTTTCCTGCAAGGCCCCCTCCTCCCGAGCCTCCTCACGCCCATGCTGGCTCTCCTCCCATCTGTTCCACAGGAGAGTGACCCTATTCTTCCCAAAAGGTAAATCGGATCATGACACGCTCCTGCTGCAACTGTCAATCCTGGGCTCCCGAAAGGGGACCAAGTTTTCTATAGTCCGGTCCTGCTGACCTCCCCTCCCCGCCAACCCCCCGCCAGACCCCGTCACACTCCCTTCAGCTACTGTCACCCCAGCTTCCCTGGGCTTCTCTCAGCACATCCACGCTGAGCCTCGTCCCGGCGGCCTTCAGCGGGAGGCCTGGGCTACAGGGCACACCCGTGGCATCAGATTCTCTGAGGGTGGCACTGGGCTGCGGTATTTTTAAACTCCCCAGTGATCCAACGCGGGGCCAGAGCTGGGAACCGTCTGGAGTCGCTTCCGGGGCCGCCCTCAGGCCACACCCCTCCAAGTGCAGCTTCCGGTTACTACCCCCAACCCCCCACCCTGTGACTGCAGGATGAATGCGGGTCTGCCCTGGAACCCAGGGTTCTGTGACTGCGGAACCTGGTGGGGTGTGCTAGTCACTGTATCCTCAGCACCCAATTTTGAGTCAGTGAATAGTAGACCCTCCAAACTTACTGAATGAAGAAATGAGTGGTTCTAGACTCCACCATATTCCCACTGCCAGGCTTCTTAGACACCAGGGAACCTGCGCCCACTGAGTGCATGGGCATAAGTCAGACTGACCAGGCCCCCTCGGACATCCGTCCTAAAGCCCGGTGAGATGGGTAACACTCATAATTCTAATAAACCCAAGTCATCAAGAAAGGGGGGAGCAAGACCAGCATCAACTGTTTTTTAAAAAGCAAGGGGAGTCTGGCATTACTTCTACAAGACTTTCACACCATGTGGCTCAACTTTTTAAAATCACAGTGGGGTCTGGGGAGGTCTGCTCCACACAGACTTTGCTGAGTTGTCCGTCCACTTACAGAACACTCTCTAATCTTCAGCCTTCTGGAAACTTTGCTTAAATGGAATGAAAACTCATGGACTTTTAAAGCACAGCGAGGCCTCAGATGCTATCCAGTCCCACCCGCAATCTGTAGGGGTTGGAGAGAATTATGGGAGAGAATGTATCTAACACACCTGTTGGTGCCCCGCTCCTAGCGAGGGCTCATGCATGGCAGCCTCATAGCATGGTCTCCTTTGGGTGGTGATTTCTCAGTTCTCAGAAGCCTCGATGGTCTGAAGGCACCGGAAGGGCAGAGCCGATCTAGTCCCAGCCCTGGAGAACACATCCATCCTTTCATTCAGCCCTTTCCTCTGGCCTGTTCCTGAATCGGCAACTTTGCACCCGCCATTCCCT